TAAGAGATAACACTACAGGTGGAATGACCAGGAGTCCTTCTCCACTCTAAACGAGGTAAACCTGGAAAGGCTAAGGTCACAGTCTTGGCATGACAGTCCAAGATAGCGTGGTAAGGTGGTAACCAGTCCATCCCCAATATGACATCAAAATCCACCATGTCCAGCAGTAATAAGTCTGCTTGGGTCTCAAGACCCCCAATCACAACTACGCAATATCGATGAACATGATCTACTACAATAGAATCACCCACCGGTGTAGACACATAAATAGGAGCACTCAAAGAATCACTAGGCATCACCAGATACGGTGCAAAATAAGATGACACATAGGAGTAGGTAGACCCTGGATCAAATAAAACTTAAGCATCTCTGCTACAAACCAGAACAGTACCTGTGATAACTGCATCGGAAGCCTCAGCCTCAAGCCTGGATGGAAGAGCATAACATCGGGGCTGAGCCACACCACCCTGAACTACATCTCAGGGACGGCCTCTAGCTGCCTGACCTCCACCTCTAATACCTCTACCTCCACCTCTAGCACATCTACCCCTACCCCTAGCTGGTGGAGTGGGCGGTGGAACACCTGGTGCCAGAACCATAGCACGGGAACCCTGCTGCTGTGACTGAGTACCCACTAATCTCGAACAAGCCCTCCGGATATAACCATACTCACCACACTCAAAGCATCCACCTGAGTGCTGCGGCTGAGGAAACTGAGACTGACCCTGGCGACCTGAATGACCACCCCGAAAACTCTGGAGCGACGGTGCACTGATAGGAGCTGGTGGTGCACTGTAGGGCTGCTGATCAGAATACTGCATATGAGAACCACGGCCACCTGAAGCGCCGTGAGAAACCTGAAGTGCTGACTGAAAAGGCCTAGGAGGATGGCATCTACCATACGAATCCCTGCCTTCAGACGAGGCTCCACTGAATCTTCCTGAATGACGAGGCCTCTTGTCAGACCCCTAACCACCTCCCGGCGGCAGAACCATCTCCACTCTCCTGCCCACATTGGCTGCCTCCTGAAAAGAAATCTCACTCCCTGTCTCCTTAGCCATCTGAAGTCGAATCGGCTAAATAAGTCCCTCAATGAACCTCCTCACCCTCTCTCTCTCTCGGTGGGAAGTATGATAAGAACATGACGGGCCAAGTCGATGAATCCGGTCTCATACTGAGTAACGGTCATAGAACCCTGCTGGAGACGCTCAAACTGCCTCCGATAGATATCTCTCTGAGTGATAGGGAGAAATTACTCCAGAAATAGCTGAGTAAACTGCTCCCAAATCAAAGCTGGTGATCCGGCTGGTCTAGCTAAACAATAATCTCTCCACCAAGTCTTGGCGGATCCAGACAAGTGGAAAGTAGCAAAGTCAACCCCATTGGTCTCTACTATCCCCATGTTCCTGAGAACCTCATGACAACTGTCTAGATAATCCTGGAGATCCTCAGAAGATGCACCGCTGAAAGTAGTAGTGAAGATCTTGGTGAACATGTCCAATCTTCACAAGGCATCGGCAAACATAGCTGCTCCATTACCGGTCTGAGCTACCACACCCGGCTGAACTGCTCCAACTGGATGAGCTGCTAGAGTCTGAAACTGGGGAGCCATCTGCTCCGGAGTGCGAGTAGCAGGAGTCTGGGCTCCTCCTCCAGCCTGAGAGACGGTTGGTGCTACAGGAAGCAAGCCTGCCCGGGTGACACTCTCCATAAAGCCCACTAGACGGACCAGAGCATCCTGGAATACTGGGGTAGCAATAAACCCCTCTGGGACCTGAGCTGGGCTAACCGGAACTGTCTGGCCGAAACCTCATCATCAAAGTAAACCTGAGGCTCCGCCGCTGGTGCTGCTGCCCTGGGCTGAGCTCTACCCCTACCTCGGCCTCTAGCACGGCCTCAACCTCACCCTCTGCCCCTCGTGGGAGCTGCTGCTGGGGGCTCGAGCTGCTGATCGGTGGATGAGGAAGCGCGTGTTCTCGGCATCTGCGAAGGAATAGAGTAGAAATTCAATCAGCATTGAGAAACCAAACCGCACGACATGAAAGAATAGATGTGAAATTTTTCCTAAATCGCTAGCCTCTAAGTATAAATACAGACGTCTCCGTACCAATCCCTCAAACTCTACTAAGCTTGTCTGTGAACTGTGAGACCCATGTAACCTAGAGCTCTGATACCAACTTATCACGATTCGGATTTTCCACCCCCGTGAGTCGTGATGGCGCCTACTAATGAAAGCTAGGCAAGCCAACTATTTGAACCAATTACCTTTTTTCCATTTTAATCCACTAACAATTATGAAACAATAACTTATAGACAGCGGAATTTATAACAAGCGGAAGAGAAACAGTAAAGCTATGTGAATATATCCAATACAACTGTTTGAACAACTACTACCCAGAACTGGTGTCACAGCTACACAGACAGTCTAAGATTACTACAAATAAAGGTCTGAATGAAATAACAAAATACTGTCTCTGCGTAGATAAAAGTTTCAAAATTCGATCCCAAAACGAGGTCTAAATCCTAATTAATCAAAAGCCCTAACTCTACCCAAATCCCTAATTTCTACCATTAAAACCCTAGGATTTTAGATAAAAGTTGATGAAAACATTAGAGAGTTGAAAGAAATTAGTTAATGAACACTTACTTATGATTTGGGAAGAAATCCTCTCGAGAAAATCGCGCTAGGCCTTCTATTTTTGTGAAAATTTCAAAGAGAAAACGCTGAAGTTTTATTTTAAAAAAGACTCCACTGCCCGACTCTCGCACCTGCGGTGCTTGGGTCGCACCTGTGAAGTCGCACGTGCGGAAGATTTACCGCGTCTGCGGAAATGATTAGGCCCGCTGGGGCCGCATCTGCGAGAGCAGATCCGCTCCTACGGAACCGCTACAGCGGAAGCTTGTTCGCATCTGCGAGGGGCTAGACCGCACCTGCGACCCACTATTCGCACCTGCGGTGCTTGGCTCGTAGGTGCGGTTACACCAAAACTGATGCAACAGTAGTGTTTTTCCTAAATCTAAATACCCTGGAACCTACTCAAAACTCACCCGAGCCCTCGGAGCTCCAAACCAAAGATGCATACTAACTCAAAAATATCATATGAACTTATCCGTGCGATCAAATCGCCAAAATAACATCAACAACTACGAATTTAGCATCAAAATCATGAAATCACATAAGAACCTCAAATTTTCCAATTTTCTCAAATACGGTCTGATTCACGTCATTTCAAGTCCGTTTCTTACCAAATTTCACAGACTCGACTTAAACCACATATAAGACTTGTACCGGGCTCCGGAACAAGAATACGGGCCCGATACCATCAAATTTTAAACACATTTTATTTTCAAAAACTCATAGATATTCTAGAAAACAATTTTCTTTAAAAATTCATTTCTCGGGCTTGGGACCTCGGAATTCGATTCGGGCATACGCCCAAGTCTCATATTTTCCTACGGACCTTCCGGGATCGTCAAATTACGGGTACGGATCCGTTTACCCAAAATGTTGACCGAAGTCAACTTAAATTCATTTTAAAGTCAAAATTCATCATTGTTCACAGATTTTCACATAATGACTTTCCGCTTACGCGCCCGGACTGCACACGCAAATTGAGGTGATGCTGAAAGAGGTTTTTAAGGCCTTGGAATGCAGAATTCATTTTTAAAACAAGTGATGACCTTTTGGGTCATCACAGGAACACTTAGAAATATTAACAAAGGAGAATAACAGAAATGTTTCCAAGAGGCACAAGGAGGAATTTCCTTTATGGTTCCAGAAAAAGGTAACTTATATAATCTAATGTTGGTTGATATTTATTTAGGACAACTCTTAAATTTTATTTTTATTTAGTACTAATATTTGTGAGTTTGTAATTAATAGGTGATACAATTAAAAGATAACGGTGACAATCGAATTACTGATCAATTGCTAGCTTTGGCAAGAGGTCCAGATTTACGAGTTGAATGCCATAATGGATATGTTATGAATGGTTTTAGGTTTCAAATAATGGCATCTGAGAAATTTTTAAAAACTCAAAATAGTGGTGTAGTTGTTAAGAGTGATGTATATACAAAAAATGTTGATTATTATGGTAAGATAAGAAGAATATTAGAAATCCAATATCTAGACAAAAATTCAGTGACATTATTCCAATGTGACTGATTTGAAGTTCTGCCTCAGGGTCGAAGTCAAAGAAGAGGTTACCAAAGGGATGAATATGGATTCATATGTATGGATGTGACACGACTTCATTACACAAATGATCCATTTATTCTAGGTTCACAAGCTCAATCTATGTATTATGTTAAATATGATCAAAATGAGAATTGAAATGCAGTGGTAAGGGTAAGACCATGAAACTTGTATGATGTACCCAAACAAGATGATGAAACAGAGCCATATCAATTAACTGACCTGGTTGAAAGGGAAGAGCAAAATCTTTAAGTACAATCAGACAATGATATGATTAGAATACAAAGAGAAGATATTGATGGATTGAGCGTTGAAGCACCTTCTCTCAATAATGAGGAAGAAATAGACTATGAATCTGATCATGAAGACAGGGATGACTCAACAGATGAAGAATATTTTTCTGAGAATGAACATGAGGAAAAAGAGGATGATGATTGGCTGTGAGGATGAATGTGATTTTTCACAACCTTGCCCAAATGGTTAATTTCTCCTTTCTGCTTCTCGTTTTATTTCTTTATTATGTTTGCTACAATATAAATTTATTTAATATTTAGAAAGTTTAGCTTTGTTCCATGCCAAATACTGAGTCAAAATATATTATGAATACATGATTTTATATCTAACAATTCTTATTTAGTCACTATATTTGTTTATTTTTACATAAATAGTTTGTTTGGTCATACACCTTAATCTATAATTGTGTTGTTGGATAGATTATTTTCTGATTGACAATATGTGCAATGTGTTGCCTTCACTTCTACTTTCAACTAGTCTCTAGTATAACTCTTTTGAATATGTCTTGCAGATTATTAAGATGGCAGATGCGCATGTTTTTGATAGTGCTGAACCTGCTGGAGTAATTTCGAACCTACAACCACGTGAGTTGATTCATTCAGTAAAAGTAGCTTTGTGAAATCTCATGCTTATATAACTTAATAGAAACAAACTTTTTATGCCTTCAAATTTGGTAATAAATTCTCATAAAGAGTTGGATTTGATTATTTGACTTATTGATTTGCCTGTAGTCACTTTGAGTGAAGTATGATATTAATATATACTTTAAATATTAAAAAAACATAAGCTCTTTTGAACTACTAATATTTAAAATTTCCTCATGCATTTCAAGCTGAAGATACAGTAGGTTGTTAGTTTCTATTTATAGTATGAACATTCACTTTGTATAGGAAGAGAAATTGTTCTCCATCTATTTGTGGATTAGAGATCACATCTTTATATTATTTATAAACTGTAGCTACTTGGGAAGTTGAAGTTTATAAGGACTTCATATGAAAAATACCATACCTAAGGTCGATAAATCTATTTTCTTAGTAGTCATTTTTCTCAGTTATGAATTGATGTTGAAGTTTTCTGAAGTCGTTCATTTTAATATTTTTATGTATTGCTGAAGGACAAATGAGAAAGGGAAGGGGGAAGACAAGAGGGTTTTCAATCCAAAAGAAATGCAAAAATAATTCCAATGGAAAGCTAGAGGTGATTATCCCACCCGATCGAACAGTAGCAGTTGGTCCTGGAGATAGTGACTTTGTTATTGAGCTTTCGGTCACTGTTGACCATAATGCTAAGCATGATGTCAAATCTTGAAAGAAAGTTTCTGATCTAGCAAAAGAAAAGATTGTTGCTCATATGTCGGTAATTCTCTTTGTGTAATTTAAGTTTATAATTATTGTTCTTGAGTGAGTCAACTAATACGCGGTAAAGTTCTTTTCGGTATCTGTTGTAGGAATATTGTGAGATAGATCTTATTATTTAATTACTCTGCGACGAAGTTTGTAGAAGTACACTGTGTTTGCTTGAAATTTTCCTACTGGTGCAACTAGGGAATAATCTGCCCATTCTTATGATATCACATGATATTTTCTACTGGTGCAACAATTGATCACATGATATTCTCTATTGGTGCAACTAGGGAACAATCTGCCATATTCTTATGATATCACATGATATTCTTATGAATAATCTGCCAATTTTAATGTTTGTCGCATGTAATTACAAAAAGTTATTTTGTCGACCTGATGAGAAAAATAGATTAAACCGCGCACTGAATTGTTGATTTGATTCCTCTTACATTATAGCTTCTTAGGGTTAGCTACACCTGTTCTCTTGAAATTGTATTTTGAAGGAAAGTTGCGTTCCTGATTTTATACAAGTTAGAACATGGACATTAGGTGGAGGATGGACAATAGATCTAATTTATAGAGTACATAAGGCTATGTTAAGTGCCTATTTTCATGCAAAGACATGTATATGTCAAATCTCAAAAACTACAAGCTGGTAGTAAATGCCATAGCATCGGTAAGTTGTGCCTGGTATCATGAATCTTCATACCCTTGAGTTGGTGGAAGAAAAAGATGGAAAATTACGAAAAAATGTATTCGATAAGAAATAGAAGTTAATGCTCTTATATGTCCATGAATCTGCCATAGAAAATTATGAAGAAACAATATTCTATGTACTTATATATATGAACTAGGGAATAGTCTGTCATATTCTTTTGATAATCTCTACTGGTGCAACAGTTGATCAATGTTGCAAGTAACTTCTATTCATCGTTATATCTCCATGTGATATCACAAGAATATGAGGTTGATCAATGTTGCAACTAAATTTCTGTGATATAAACAGTTCATAAAAACAGCTGCCCATTATAGTAATAGTCTGTATAAAGATCAGTAGGCATATTTGTTAATCTAATGGTTCCAGCTTTTGAAATCCTTTATTACAGATTCCACATACAAATCTATTTTATTGCTAGTAGAGCCTTAGGTGACAAAGCTATCACTTTTAATTTTTTAATTTGAGTGCATGACGCCTTCGAAATTCCAGACACGCAACATAATAGGGATATTATCCTTCATACAGTCAATAATTTGTATCGATATCGCCGTAGTAGGCTCCATGATCATTTTAAGAAATTTGCTTCAAAGGGGGAACGATTGCAAAACATACCAGAAGATGTCACTGAAGTTGAATGAAAATTCTTGGTGGAGTATTTCGACTCTGATCCTTTCAAGGTAGTCAAATGAAATATGCACAAAAGCTATTATTTAGCTAAAATAATTCTGGAAAATGCCTAGTTCAACAAGGGAAGTTTCAAAAAAAAAAAAAAACTAAGAAAGCAATCATATACCTGCAAAATGGAACTTAAATTCTCATGACCATACTCAAAGTCTTGTTTATTTCTTATTTTACTTTTTATACTTGAATCATATCATTGATACATATTCAATGTATCAAATGAGTGCCAGAAACAAAATAAACAAGGCAAAACAAGGAATCAATCACATTTGCAGCAGAAAATCGTTTGGGGCAATCTCTTTTGAAGAGATGAGATATGTCTTCTTTTATGAACTTAGTAATTATTTCTTCTATAACGTAATTTGATGTATTTTGTTAGAGAGATGCAATCACCGAAAAAGAGTCAAACTTTCAGAAACTTTGGAAAAAAACTCACATGAAAAATGGTCATTGGGTCAACGATGTCGCTGCTGAATTGAATGTACATACAAAACTCTAATCCTCAATCCTATGATACAGATTTTTCGCATCGGAGTTTGCTGCAACCACTTATTTTTTGTTGCGAAAAATATTTTTCGCAACGACAACCAATATATTGCAACAAAAAATGTTGTTGCAAATTCCGTAATTTCTTGTAGTGAAAAGAATAAAACTAAAAGAAATTCAACAAATATTTCTTACCTCAAAAACAATAACGGACAAGAACAGTGTTTCAGCCCTGCAAGATTTGCAAGAAAAGTAGTTTCTCCAAGGATACAGAGATTAAGTTTGCCATCATAATAGGAATATGCAGTATATCAACAAGAAATACAGTTTTTCCCGAAGTGAGTTTCAGGTGAACTTTACTTTTACCCAAGACTTTAGTAGTACTTAAGTCTCCAAGTTAGACCTCTTCTTTATCATTCTCTACAGGAGTATAAGAAGAAAATGCTTCTCGATTTGTATAAATGTGCCGAGTAGCTCCAGAATTTACCACCCATTCTTTTGCATGAACCACAATAGTTACTTGAGAAATAACAACCACAATAATATCACCTCCAACAACTAAGTTACCCTTAGGATTATTAGTTTTTCCTTTGTCATTTCCTGCACTTTACTTACACTATGAGGCATGATGACCTGGTGTTCCACAAACAAAATAAGAGCCTTTTTTCTCTCTTAAGGTTCAGATTTTTGGGCTTCTAACCTTGAGACTTTTCTCATATCTTTTGCAGTTGCTACTGCTACTTTTTACTAAATTTGCTTTGAGAATTTTCATCCTAGCGTTGTCAGATTCTTTTTTTTTGAATCTTCAATTAGGATGTGGGTCATAATTTCTTCAATGGTGAAACTTTTCTGTTTGTGTTTTAGGCTATTCTTGTAGTTAATTCGTGAGTCAGGTAGCTTCTCAATTGGCATGCCAGCAGCAAATTTTACTGGTAATGATATCCCGTCGGCCTTCAAGTGTTCTCGCAAATTTTTATATACGTTAATTTGCATATTCATCTCTCTATCATTTGTCATCTGTCATCTACCACAGGTAATGTCACGATCCCAACCCCGGTAGTGATGGCGCCCAACACAATGCTAGGCAAACCCGACCAATTTAACACTCTCAATCCCGTTCCTTAAAATTCGATACCGATTAACAGAATTTAATTACCAAACTAATATGAATATGTGAAGACCCAAGGGTCATCACCTGTTTTCTTACTCATCCCGTACTTTCGAGGCCTCGAAAACCTCATTTAGGGTTGCCTCGATTTGCATGCGCAGTCCGGATGCGTAACCGGAAAGCTTAAATATGAATTCTGTGTAAAAAATGCTAAATTTTGATATTAATATGGTTAAAGTTGACTTTGGTCAACATTTTGGATAAACAGACCCGGACCCGTGATTTGACGGTCCCGGAGAGTCCGTAGAAAAATATGGGACTTGGGCGTATGCCCGAAATCGAATTCCGAGATCCCAAGCCCGAGAAATAAATTTTTAAAAAGAAATTATTTTTCTGAAATTTATATGGAAATTTGAAATGAAAATGGATTAGAAAGTGTTGGTATCGGGCCCGTATTTTGGTTCCGGTGCCCGGTACAGGTCTTATATGTGGTTTAAGCGCTCCCTGTGAAGTTTGGTTGAAATCGGACGTCATTTGACGTGTTTCGGACTATAAGTTCCAAATTTGAAAGTTTATGAAACTTGAAGGAAAATTAGTGATTTTGAGGTTTGATTCCTTGTTTTGATGTTATTTTGGCGATGTGATCGCACGGATAAGTCCGTAGGAGGTTTTTGAGGTTGTGTGCATGTTGGTTTGTAGCCCCGAGGGCTCGGGTGAGTTTTGGATAGGCGTCGAGTTGCATTTTGAACCTTAGGAAAATCTGGTATCACAGTTCTGCATTTTTCGCATTTGTGAAGCAGGTCTCGCAAATGCGAGCCTGGCATCGCAAATGCGAGGGAAGGGACATTGGACTGGAGTCGCAAATGCGACGAGGGGCTCGCAAATGCGAAGGACCCAGACTCCGCAAAAGCGACAAAATGTTCGCAAATACGAAGTCCTCCCAAGTGGCCCAAGTTCGTAAATGCGAACTAGAATCTCGCAATTCCCAGACCTGCTGGGTTTGCAATTGCGAACCCATGTTTGCATTTTCCACATCTGAGGCCTGCATTTTTCATACTTAGACGAATTTTAAACCCCTTTTCTTCATTCTTTCAAAACACAAACTCCATAGGCGATTTTTCAAGAAATCTATCTTCTCCAAATCATTTGTAAGTCAATTCTTACTTAATTTCTTCAATCTCTAACATCATTAAACATGTTTTCGTCTTAAAATCAAGGATTTTCATGGGTGAAAATGGGGATTTTGGTAGATTTCAAAACAAAACATAGATATGAACTCGCGGGGGAATGGGTAACCGGGTTTTGGTTCGAACCTCGGGTTTTGACCACGTGGGCCCGGGGGCGTTTTGGGAATTTTTGAGTAAAACTTTGGGAAATTCGTTTTCATGCATTCAAATTGATTCGATTAGCATTTGTTGATACATTCAAGTAATTTGTGACTAGATTCGAGCGGTTTGGTGGTGAATTTGAAGGGTAAAGCTATACTAGAGGCTTGAGTTGAGTTTGGAGCATTTGAGGTAAGTGTTTGGTTTAACCTTAGCTTGAGGGAATAGGAGTTGAGTCTTGTTTGCTACTTGCTAATTGTTGAGTACGGTGTATAGGTATGGTGACGAGTATCTATACACTGGTGTCTATCATGACCGTGAGTCCTTATATTGTGTTTATTCTTATCTTGTTGTGCTTTTCCATGCTTAGTTGATGATTCCTATGTGATGAAAGAGTATGAGAAGGAAAATATGAATCGTAAGATTCTTGGGAGCATTGGCTCAAGTGATAAAGCGAGATGTGAAGTAAGAAATGAACGAAAGCTAATGAGTTATTGGTTATTCCCTTGCCGGGATGTTTTGCTGTTTGGTAGACTTGTCTCCCTTGCCGGGATATTGAAATTGTTGTTATTGTTCCCTTGCCGGGATTCCTATTTTGTTTGTCTATTCCCTCGCCCCATTGTTTGTGATTGTTGTTTGGGTGAGGACGAGTGATAAAGCACGAAGGGTGATGCCGTGCACGATTGTGATATGAATACTAATGCACGAAGGAACATTCCGTGCCATGATATGATTACTAATGCACGAAGGAACATTCCGTGCCATGATATGATTACTAATGCACGAAGGAACATTCCGTGTCATGATATGATTACTAATGCACGAGGAACATTCTGTGCCATGATATGATTACTAATGCACGAAGGAACATTCCGTGC